GGATTGCGGGAGATCGGACACAGACCGAGAGGTAGCGGCGGTCATGTCGGAGCCGGCTGCAGACGGTGAGAACGACATTGAGCCTTGGTAGGGGGACGCCATTGTAAATATCAAGATCGGCACTCTATCGAGAAATTCCCGAGTGCTGTGTGCGTTTCCGTGGCTATAAGGAGAGATCTGGCTGAGCCAACCGCGGAGATCATGGAGCAAAGCGGAGGAGCGGATGCGGCGCGAGATGTATCAATCGACGGCAGCGTCAAAGAGTCGCGTCAAGAGAAATACATCACTTTCCGTAATAGATCTAGAGTTAAGTGTTCAGAGCCACAGTTCACAGCATTCTGCACGGTAGCAGCGCATTTGAGGTAAGCTTTGGTGCGGGCGGCCTGAGCTGCCGAGTTGGAGTATCCGACGTTACTAAGCAGTAATCTGCACGGCACGTGATTGGAGCGGGGAACACCAACCCTAATTGCAAAAGAGGAAAGATATGACGTCTTGACCACGACCATGGAATAAGGATGGCGATGAACCCAGACCTTTATCGAATAAGTCACATTATTGGAGAGAAAGCAATTAGAGAAAATTAGTTGAATGAATAATGTCTATTAGTCTAGATTCTATTGTAGGTATAGGATATCTATCAATGCTTCCGAAATCAATCCCAGACGACTCCGCTTTTCTGTATGCCATTCAGATGATCTGAATCGTAACCAAGAAGATAAAACCCAGCAAAAATATGCACAATAAACCCAATGGAAATTAGTAAAGAAGTTGTCGGGTATGCAATGGCATTTTTCGAAACTTCGAACCTGTGAAGCAGAAAGACATGCGTCGAACCTCTCTAGTGCTTCTCTCCCGATCCCTGCTGCTCCTCATCGTCGGCGAAGGCAAACTTCGAGTACCGACGGATGGAAGCGCCTTTGAAGTAGAAGGCGTAGGGAATTGCGCAGCAAGCCAGTGCAATGAAGGCTAGCAATGAACTGGCCCATCGGTCGTTCAAGCGGTCATACATCTGCTCAGTGAACAATACGGTGGAAGCACCCCACATGGAACGGAGGAAAGTCTTTGCGGCGAGGGCAGAGGCTGCCTGATGCTGGTATGTATCCACTGTAGTAGCAGTTAGTACTAAACCATCATTGAGGAAGTTGGAGATAACATACCGAGGTAATTGTTCGCGGCGTTGTACAAGAAGATAAAGCCAAATCCAACGGGGAAGCCACCAATGGCAGGGCCAATCCAGTGAATGTTCGGATATGATGTCCAGGCGAAGATAAAGAGACCGATGGGGATAAACCAGCATGAAAGCATCATAGGGATCAGACGCGCTTCAGCTGGAGGCTTTCCACCGTGCTTCTTAACAAGTGTAAGATAATGCTTGTTGACAAAAGGAGCACAGGCAGCGCTAGCCAAGACACCAATGGCCAAAGGAATGAACATCAGACCAGTAGGGCCTGAGCCCCATCCCTTTCCTTTTTGGTAAACAATGGGATAGCTAGGAATAAGCTGTTAGTCCCGTCCTTGAAAAATCTCACAAGGCAGCGTCAACTTACGCGACGAAGAACATGTATAGCAAGCCATATAAGACGGACATATAAATGGAGATGAACAGAACAATGGGCTCCAGAAACAGGAGCTGAAATGGGCGGAGGAGGAAGATACGTATTCTTTCTCCCATGGGGCGAGGGTCCAGTTCTGTCTCCGTGACGTACTTCGGATCGTTTTCAGTCTTCCTTAATTTCTTTGCTCTTTTCCGCAAAATCATTGGGGCATAGGTCTCCGGGACTGTGAAGGTAATCAGGACCCAGGCGACAAAGGCCAAAATGAGCTGGATCCAGTAAAGCCATCTCCAACCAGCATGGCAGAGATAACCACCGACAAGAGGACCGATGGCGGGACCGATGAAAGGGCTGGCAGAGAAGGCAGCCATAGGGACACCACGTTCCTCATTCCTCCACAGATCAGCCAGAGTACCGCCGACCAACGTCATTGGAGCACTGAATGCGATGCCATCGATAGCTCTGCAGACGATAAGCGTACCGATGTTCTTGGAAACCGCGCAAGGTATGACGAAGATAACTGCAAGCAGGAGCGTAATAGCATAAACAGGCCTGCGCCCAACCATTTCCGAAAGAGGAGCAAACATCATAGGGCCTGCAATCAGTCAACATGGGACACGCTCTAAGTGATTCTGTTCATTGAGACTTACCAACACCAAAACCAATGACAAAGACTGTAACCGTAACAAGACTAGCTTCATGGGAGACATTGAAGGCCTCGGATGGCCCTTCAAGGTCGGCCGTGATCACACTACTGGCGAAGGCGACGACGAAGCACGTAAACGAGACGACCATAGTGCAATACCATTTGTAGGCCTTGGACCAGTTCTTTGGGTTCTCGGGATCATCAACTTTGAATGTGACCAACTTCCAGTCTTCCACCTTGCCGGTTGCAGAAGATTTGACCGGCTTGATGATCTCTCCCGTGGCAGTCTCGGCAGTGTACTCTTCCATGTTCGCATCGTTGGTTACTTGGCGGAGGGGAAGGTCCAGGGGGTCGAATTGACCCGGGCCAGATCCCAAGGAGAGAGTTCGCGTGGCATCTTGATGGTGTTGTTGGTCCGACATGTCGAGCTATGCACTAGCTACAAGCAGATATCCTGGTTAGGATGGGGATGTAGTACTGAGCACAGTCGGTAGCCGGGAGATTCATCCTGAAGGATCCTGGCAGGTACTTATAATCGCTCAGTCGAACCATTTTTTAAATCGAACCGGTGGAGCCAGTCGGGGAGGGCGGCGAGCCAGATGTGAGAAAGGAGTAAGAATGGACCTTCCACTGTCAACATCATAGAGCATGATACCAAGGACGGCAGCTTATCCCGGATCTGCCTCGGCGGTCCCTCGGTTGCCCGATCTGGCAGTGGACCTACTAGCCTCTTCAGGTAATATGCCTCGAGGCCACTGCTTTAACATGACGTCCCGCTGTCAACCATGGTACCATTTCTATATCTCTACACACTCCGTAAATAGAGCTAGAGCCTAGGCTTGACATTTATTAGTTGGGTAGACGCTCAGGGGTAAGTCTTCTTCCCGCTAAACTATTCTAAATCTGAAGTGGAAATGTGGAATTGGGCAAAGCAAGGGACAAAGGCGATCAGGCCAACATTTGATTGATAGCCTTACGACGCAAGTCCCTCTAAGCCCAGGCATTGAAATCGCCCTCCTCAATATTAGAAGAGAGGGTATAAAAGAAGGATTTATACAGCTATACTCCGTACAGAATGCTGGTTCAACGGAGTGCTCCTAGTGGAAAATTCATCAATCAATATCAACAGTTGCCTCCCTGATGCTCAGAATCCGTATTCAGTTCCAAGGACATGAACGCTGCAGCGCTCATTGAAGCTCAGCTAAGACTCAGCTCAGAGAGAGCATGAACCATTAAAGGCAGTCAGGAAATGTTATCAGTTACTTATTAGGGCTGTTTCCGAATCCCCTCTCAGCCTGAGCGTCGTGTCAAGTTAGCTGCTTATGGCGAAGTGGGCCTGATTAGCTTGCACTGTGTATTCTGGACCTGGGCTCCGAATAATGGATCTAGATCTATGGAAATCTATTGGAAACAATGTTGCACATAGTGGGAGGGCTAATCTCATATCTAAGTGCTCGTGTCTCCTCTTAAAACCTCTTACGGGACTGGAAGGACTATCGACCATACAACCTGTGTAAGTTACGAAAGCAACGTCTGATGTTTGACACTTTCTTAGCAAAAGTCATAGATATGGACTGGATATCGCAATTATTCAGCTCGTAAGAAAAGCAAAAGTCAAAGTTTTCAAAGACTGGCACAACTGCAGTTATGCTATTGATATACCTAGTATTACTCGGCCTTGGACGTTGTTGGCGCGAAAATTTGCTGCCAAACAGCCACCATCAAGAGAGCTCCGCCGTCAATAATCCTTGGCATCGGAAGGCTGATGGCTCGGAGCGTTTTTCCCAATTTGGTATAATGGGTTCGCCTTCCATAAGAGGTAAAACATGTCGTCGAGTACTTCGAGTAAGTTATGCATTCGCTCGAGAAGTTATACGTCTTGTCATTATTATATCAGATAATTACTGGAAACCCTTGGCTTCTGTGATCGAGCCTCAAAGATAATAGAAACCGCACACAAGGTTTGAAGTGAAGTCTGTGCTGATTCTGAATATACGGAATCAGGGTTAAATTGAAGGCCCTATAAAGCCCGCATTAGATAGATCGACAGTCAAGGCTGACGATCTAGGCCTTTTGTGTCTGTACCTCCACAAGATTCATACTCCGTACTTTCTTGCGAATTCTGGCATGATATAAAACGTAGTTTACTCTAGATCTCATATCATTGCCTGGCATTCTCTTGTCGAGAGCACTTTCTGTGTTAAGAAGACCGGTTCTGCTTCCCCATGTCTCACAGATCTCCACTAAATAATGCGGGATAGTGGGCACAAACGGTAGATCTCCTCAGTGCCGTGAACATCGAGGTTCAGTAGTAACAAACTCTCATGGCGCTTTTGAAAATAGAGCACAAGACGTTGCACAAGATGCAAATGATGTCGACTCCCAAGACGGAACCCATGAGCTTTTGATTTCTTTCAAGCACAGAAAAAGACGTGTTGTATCCTGAGGCATCCACGGGCCCAGGTTTCTCCGAAAAGTCACATGACTGATAAGCTCAGAGCGTTGGGCGATAAGCCGGAAAGGGATTAGCGCGGGGTTGGAATTTCGACGCCTCCCAAAAAGACGAGGTGACTCGAATGTGAGTAATTTTACGACGGCCAGCAGCTCAACGCCCCGTCGCTGTGGTGCTCCAGCCGATTCTTCTCCTTAGAAGTGTCTCTTCGGCACTTCTGTGAAGACTTGAGAAACACACATCCTTCTTTCTCATCTTCCTGTCTCCCTGTCTTCCTCAGGTTCGCCATCCTGTTGCCCGCGGAAGCAAAAAAAAACTAATAGAAGGGGACAACAGGTGTCACGTCACAATGGCCTCCACATCCACCAATTCCACATACTTGGCCATCCCAGGCTCAGTTGCCTTCTCTCACTCTCGTGGGCGGGCAATTGCAGCCAGCATCGGGGCCCAGGATGTTCGAGCTCAGTGGATCCACTACGTCCACGCTGAACGACCTTTGGATGCTCTGCAACAGGGCGTCTTGGAGCAGTTGCTCCGTTACGGCGATATCACCGATGTTCCCGCCTCATTCAGCCCCGAGGACGGTTCCTTCGATGTCTTCTATGTCTTTCCCCGCACTGGAACGATTTCCCCTTGGAGTTCCCAAGCTACTGGTATCTCACATGTTTGTGGCTTGCGTAAGTACGTGAAGCGCATTGAGCGGGGTATCAAGATCTCATGTCTTCGCGAGAAGACACAAGAGTTCAAGCCTGGTTTCGAGGATGTTCTGCATGATCGGATGACCCAATTGCTAAGCCAAACCGAGCCCGACCTGCACCTGATGTTTTCCGAGCATGCTCCTCAACCCCTCGAGACGATCCCCCTTCACGGTAGCGACAAGTCTCCCAAAGAAGTACTACAAGAAGCGAACAAGCGGCTGGGTTTGGCATTGGAACAATCAGAGATTGACTATCTCGCTGATGCTTACGGGCCCAATGGTCCTCTTGCTCGTGACCCTACTGATGTCGAACTGTTCATGTTCGCTCAGGTCAACTCGGAGCACTGCCGTCACAAGCAGTTCAACGCTTCCTGGGTGATCGATGGCAAGCAGATGCCAAACAGTCTCTTCGCCATGATTCGCAACACGCATAAAAAGCACCCCGACCATACTGTTAGCGCCTACAGTGACAACGCCGCAGTGCTTGAGGGACCCAACGCCGCATTCTGGGCTCCTGACCCATTCACCGGCGAATGGAACCACACAAAGGAGGTCGTCCACTTCCTGGCTAAGGTCGAAACTCACAACCATCCTACTGCCGTTTCCCCTTTTCCTGGCGCTGCCACGGGCTCGGGTGGAGAGATTCGTGATGAGGGTGCAGTCGGCAGAGGCTCCAAGCCCAAGGCCGGTCTTTCTGGATACTGCGTTTCTGATCTTCTGATCCCGGATCTGAAGCAGCCTTGGGAGCTCGATGTTGGCAAGCCCAACCACATTGCAAGCAGCTTGGATATCATGTTGGAGGCTCCCATTGGCAGTGCTCACTACAACAATGAGTTTGGTCGTCCCTGTACACTTGGATACTTCCGTACTCTCCTCACACAGGTTGACGTTGGTAACGGACAGACTGAGGTCCGTGGTTACCACAAGCCTATTATGATTGCTGGTGGCGTTGGAACAGTCCGACCACAGCATGCTATCAAGAAACCCGAGACCGTCAGGCCCGGCTCCTACCTCGTTGTTCTGGGAGGCCCTGCCATGCTTATTGGACTGGGCGGAGGCGCCGCTTCCAGTATCACGTCTGGTGAAGGATCTGCAGACTTGGACTTTGCTAGTGTCCAGAGAGGCAACGCTGAAGTGCAGCGCAGAGCTCAGGAGGTTATCAATGCTTGTGTGGCCATGGGTGAGAACAACCCCATTAAGTTCATTCATGACGTTGGTGCCGGTGGACTCTCCAACGCGCTTCCCGAGCTGATTCACGATTCCGGACTGGGTGCTACTTTTGAGCTTCGTGAGATTGATAGCGCCGACAAGAGCATGAGCCCCATGCAAATTTGGTGCTGTGAAGCCCAAGAAAGATATGTCCTCGCAGTCGGCGAAGAAAGCATGAACAAATTCACCGCCATTGCTCACCGTGAGCGTTGTGGTTTCTCAGTGGTTGGCCGTGGTGAGGGTGGCTCTGAGGAGGACAAGAGACTTATCCTCCTTGACAGAGACTCCACCGAGTATCCGAAACCCATTGACCTTCCTTTGTCAGTCCTCTTTGGCAAGCCTCCTCGGATGACAAGGACAGTGGACTCCCGCAAACTGAAACTTCCCGCCGTCGATGCAAGCCTTACCAGCTACCTTCCTTCCCTTGCGCCGAACCGCGTCGAGCTGATCAGCGAGGCTGCCAACCGTGTCCTTTCTTTGCCTGCTGTAGGCTCCAAGTCTTTCCTGATCACAATCGGCGATCGCACCGTCGGTGGTCTTACTGCTCGGGACCAGATGGTTGGAAAATGGCAAACCCCCGTCTCTGACGTTTCCGTCACGGCCACTGCGTTGGTTCAGGGAATGAAGACTGGCGAAGCCATGGCCATGGGTGAGAGGCCAACTCTTGCTCTTATTTCTCCGGCCGCATCAGCTCGGATGGCAGTTGCGGAGTCCCTCATGAACATTGCGGCTGCGGACTTGGTCGACCGCCTGAACCATGTCAAGCTTTCTGCCAACTGGATGTCCGCCAGCAATCACCCCGGTGAGGGAGCCGCTATCTACGAGGCAGTTGAGGCTATCGGTATGGAATTGTGTCCTAAACTTGGCATCAGCATTCCCGTTGGAAAGGACTCCATGTCAATGAAGATGAAGTGGACCGATGAAGCCACCAAGGAGTCCAAGGAAGTCACCGCCCCTATGTCCCTCGTTATCTCTTCCTTCGCGCCCGTCGGTGATTTCCGTAAGACCTGGACACCAGCCCTCCGCAGTGTTGAGGATGTTGGTGATACCGTTCTGATGTTCGTTGATCTCTCGTTCGGCCGCAAGACCCTGGGCGGCTCAGCCCTCGCTCAAGTCTTCAACCAGGTTGGAGACGAATGCCCCGATCTCCGCGATGTGGAGATTTTCAGGGACTTCTTCGACGCTACTCAGCAGCTCCAGGAGGCAGGCATCGTTCTGGCCTATCACGACAGATCCGATGGTGGTCTCTTCACTACTCTTGCCGAGATGATGTTTGCCGGACGCTGCGGTGTGGAAATCATGTTGGACAACATCTGCCCCACCAATAGCACACAAGATCTTGTGTCGACCCTCTTCACAGAAGAACTGGGTGCGGTCTTCCAGGTGCGCAAAGAGCATGAGATTCAGTTCCGCTCTTGCTTTGCCACCTGCGGTCCCCCTGCTGGCCTGATCCACAAGATCGGTCGTGTTTCCGAAAGGCCGAAGCAGAACCTCGCCATCTACCACAAGGCCAGTCTGGTGTACCGCAACAACCGCGCCAACCTCCAGCAGACCTGGGCTACCACCTCGTATCACATGCAGAAGATCCGTGACAACGCTGCCTGCGCGGAACAGGAATTCTCGAACATCCTGGACGATACCGACCCCGGTCTGTCATGGAACCCCACCTTCGACCCGAAGGACCGGGCCATGCCCCTTTTCACCAGCCTCAAGTCTCCCTTCAGCAACAAGCCACGTGTGGCCATCTTGCGTGAGCAAGGTGTTAACAGTCAAGCGGAGATGGCCTTTGCCTTCAATGTGGCTGGATTCTCCGCCGTTGACGTTCACATGACCGATATTATCTCTGGCCGCGTTTCTCTCTCCAGCTTTGTCGGTCTTGCCGCCTGTGGTGGTTTCTCATACGGTGACGTTCTCGGTGCCGGCCAGGGTTGGGCCAAGTCAGTCCTGCTGCACGAGAATACCCGCACTGAGTTCCAGAGCTTCTTCCAGCGTCCCGACACATTTGCCCTCGGTGTTTGCAACGGTTGCCAGTTCCTCTCCCGTCTCAAGGAATTGATTCCTGGCGCATCCAACTGGCCCAGCTTCGAACGCAACGCCAGCGAACAGTACGAAGGCCGTGTCTGCATGGTCCGTATCTCGGATCCCGACCCTGCCAATCCCAGTGTCTTCCTCCACGGCATGAACGGCTCCTCGCTCCCTATTGCTGTCGCCCACGGAGAAGGTCGCGCTTCATTCGCTGCAGCTCCCGGCACCTCAGCTCAAGATTTCGTGCGTGAAGGCTTGGCGCCCGTCCAGTATGTCGATAACGCCACCCTCAAGCCAACCATGAAGTACCCATTCAACCCCAACGGCAGTCCCGAGGGTATTGCCGGTATTCGCAGCGCCGATGGCCGTGTCCTCGCCATAATGCCTCACCCCGAGCGGACCGTGATGGGCGGTATTGCCAGCTGGCTGCCTCCTAATGCTGGAGACTGGGGTGACATTGGTCCATGGGGTCGTGTGTTCTTCAGCGCCAGAAGATGGGTTGGCTAAAAGTGTGGATTTTGGTTGCGCCTTTTCCTTCTTTTCCTCTGGTGGTCCAAGATCGGGCGTGATGTACAGCGAAAACCAAAATCATGGGGAGGTTACTACTTCGTTTTGGTATATAAAATATCTACACCTTATGTTCTGCATGATGAGTCCGATGCCTTAGGATGATCGAATCAAATTGTTATGATTAATTCAACAGGAATACAAGCATGTTCACAGCGTTTCTCAACCTTGAATTACGAATTCTTAACCCCTCTTGAGCAAGTTATAACACTCATAATCTAGTTATGCAAACCTCTAAACCATTGAACAGCAAAACAACGTGGATATCATAGCAAGGTATCATTATAGTAGAATCATGGCGCCTCTTTCTTTTAAGGTCAAGTAGGGCACTAAACAGCCAAACGCTTCTTGCGCCACTCCAGCTTCTCGGCCAGAATCTCCCAACTGATCTGACCATCCACACGTCCCACACCCTTCAGACCAGCGGTCAGAAACGCAAGCAACTGGTCAAAGTGACCTTTGATATCCCTCAGTCGATGCGCGTAGGGTGCCTCGTAAAAGGAAATGCTGGTGGTATTGCCAACATCCTCGTCCGACTCATCTTGGGTATCGGCGTCGTCATCGTCATCGTCATCATCACTTTGTATCGCGTCGTCGTGGTAGGCATCTTGATGCTTCCTCCTGAGACTGTTCTTGCTTTGAGAAAGCTTGGCATATTTGGTCGGCGTTCTCTGATCGAACATCTTGTCCCCGTAGCGTGTCGCTTGGATGTCTGCGAAGTACAAGCAGAGATCTAGGAGGTTGATCGTTGCTTGGTGAAGAGGTGATAGATTGCTGGAGAGGAGGCACTGGTTTTCCATGGAAGACATGTACGCGCGATGCGCTGCGATCATCGCGTCGACGTCCTTTGTTGCGGAGAGGGACTTGCGCAATGACTCTGTCGTTGTGGAAATGACAAAGTCCGTAATGTGGCTGTAGAGGGTGTTTAGGAACCACAGCATGTGGTGCCGAAGAGAGTAGCTCAATGCGTTGCTGCTCCTGTCATGGGAGAATTCGTCCGTCTCATCGGTGTACTTCAGACGCTGTTTGACGATCAAGTGTTTTGCTCGGCGGATTTGCATCAGGAATGTCGAGATGCGCTGGTAGCTGTGGATGGCGTCTTTGGGGATAATGTTTGCAATGGGCCAGGGGAGGATGTAATCGAATGAGATGGTTCTGAGGGCCTTGACTGAGCGGCTGCGCCCTTGCGGATCCTGGTGCGAGCGGACAATTATTCTTGAGTGGTCGATGAAAGACATGCCGCTAAACGCGCTCTGTGCGAGTTCGGTGAGAAGATACCTGTCGCTCCAGGAGCCTCTGCCGCGGTCCATGAGGTCAAAGACCTTGTTGTCGATAATAGCTGACACACTGAGGTCCTTGCAGAGGTAGATGTGTTCCAAGGCTTGCAGTGATTTCCACAGTCCACATTGCTGGTCAAGCTCTTTTCGCAGCAGATCGGACGCAAAGGAGTGGTTAGCCTCGACGAGCTTGTCTATAGCGGACTCGCATATGGCGGCAAAGGGAAGGCAGAGTAAAGAGCTTGAGTCACCGCCGTAGATTCTTTCCAAGGTGAGGGTATTCGTCACCGAGCTTTCGAGTTGCTCCAGAGCATTCAAATGTTGCAGAAAGACCATGCTTTTACCCGCAGTGAAAATCTTTTGAGCAACGGGCTTCATAAAATGTGGAAGCCCAACTGTGTCGTCCGCAGCGTACCATCCGTGCCAAAGCGACCTCAGATCTTTATTGCCGCGTCGGTCTATGATAAAAGATATCCCTTCTTTTGAGTCCAGTCGTCCCTCCTCCATCCAACGACGGATCGGACGAATGTAGGTTTCGAGACATGAAAAGAACAAGTTTGCCAGGAATCTGAACTCGTCATCGTCCCCTGTAGCTTGCTTCATGCATACCACATCGTATAGTAGGTCAAGACACCGTAAGCCGTCGTCTGGAGTGTTACACTTGAGATTGGAGATTAAATCGGCCAGAAGCACGAGCATCGCTGATGCGCTGCGGACATCTTCGGCCAGCTGTAGTAGGCTGACGGGAAAAGGCGCTCCTTGCGAAATGCACTGAGTTTGCACTTCCGACAGAAACGAGTCGAACTGGTTTAGGCGGTCCTCAACACATCGGTGGAAGGTTTGCATATAGGGAACAACCTGGGTGATCTTGATGAAGCGTCTTATAACATCTATCTTTGCGCCAATCATGCTGAATGACCGCAAAAGCGAGGACAGGGCCTCGGTCGACGTATGTGTAAGAGTATACCGTCGATCGACCTCGATGCTGTCATCGAGTCGCCAAAATAGAGACGTGGGCAAACCCTGCAACATGAACAATGTCTCTCTTACAATTTGAAGCTCCGTGACCACACGGCAGGAGAAGTTATCGACTTGGTTGGATTCTGCGCGCTTTTTAGGCCTCCAGAATTGAGCTTCCCTAACAGAGTCCACAAGAACCACATCCATTCCAGGAGAAAAGACTTCGTCGGGAATTTCATAATCTTCTTCGGAGGCAATGGGACTGGAAGGTAGAGTCTGTGGGATTGAGGCGTCACTGCGCCCCGAAGACACAAGATCATCATCTTCCTCGGATGAGGAATCTGCGCCGAAATTTACACATTCCCAGATATCTTCATCACAATACGCGGATCCAGAGGCATCCAACTCCGTCCAAGAGAGTTGCTTCGAGTCTTCATCAACCTTGGGCTTTGGAAGTCGGTCTACCCGCGAAAACACAGCAGGGCGAGCAGAGAGCTGCAAGAGGAAAGATAGTATTTCAGGAAACCATGAGCTATGGTGTTCATCTAATTCAGTCAAGCGACTCCGGAGTGCGTCCGCCAGATCATCTTTATTGAGAACCTGGAATTTCTCCTGCAGGCCCTCTAGCTGCTTTGAGACCGCAAACTGGTCAGTCCGGCCATGAGAGGCGGATTTGAACGTGTCTTCGACACGATGCTTTAGATTTTTGAGTCGTGACGTATTCTAGAGGCTAATGTTAGTGACAGCGGAGCGCTCAAAGTAATGATAGTACCCCATACAGTCGGATCGATCTTTGTGATAGCCAAAATTAGCTCATCCGTTAGCGCACCAATCTCCTCGGGGAGAGTCATCTCGACGCGTGTTGCATTTGCAACAAGTCAGCGTAGAAGTTGGAAGTCAGGCGGAATATTCCCCGATGATCCCCCATCGTTGTTTCATCGACAACTCCTTCTGGTGGCGCCTAGGACCTTGGATCGAGCCGGGGTTACGCGGCATCCAGGCCTGTAGTCTAGACGTCAAGACGAATCTCTCTCTCCGTCTGCTCCGCGAAGCGTGACGTGTTGCACATTTATTACGACGCTATTCCTCTTCGGGATAAGTGGCATCTGGTCCGCCAGAGACAAGAGTCGCCAAGCGGAGGGAGGAAGTCGACGACTGCAGCCAATTTTCCTCTTACTTCCCCCTGGCCATCGGTTTTTGCAATCAAGCAGTCAAGATGGCCGTGGCGAGGCCTATACGCATGCTAGGTGCAGCATGCATCCTACTGTGTCTCTTTCTGATCTTTCAGGTCAACCAAAGTCACGGCCCATCGTTCATTAGTAAGGGGTCAAAAGAGTATACTGGAATGAAAAAAGATCCCCTTTTAGATCGTGAGTCTCACTCGAGTTTTTCTTGCGGACCTGTCTTGTAACTACTCAATTCCGCGTCTCTCGCATGTACTGATGAAATTGCATTTGCAGCGACCGGCGAACCCGAAGGTCATTTATGGCGAGCCGAAGGCAACGACTATGCCCCCGACAGCGCCCAGTCCGCCCGCACGAACGCTGCTCTCATTTCCCTCGTCCGTAATGAAGAGCTGAACGATCTTATTCCGACGATGAAAGACTTGGAGCGGACCTGGAATTCCAAATTCAACTACCCCTGGATCTTCTTCAATGACAAGCCCTTCACGGAAGAATTTAAAAAGCGCACACAAGCAGAGACGAAGGCAAAGTGCTATTATGGTATTTGCGCCCGATCTTATTTCTAGTCGATGTAACAAACCTGACAAAACGTCCAGAGCAAGTGCCAAAGGAACACTGGGATCCTCCGGAATGGATCAACATGGAACTCTTCCGCGAGTCTGCGGCGATTCTGACTGAGCAGAAGATCCAGTACAGCGACAAGCTCTCGTATCACCAAATGTGCCGGTGGAACAGTGGCATGTTCTACAAGCATCCCGCTCTTAAGAACTACAAGTACTACTGGCGGGTTGAGCCGAAGGTCCAGTTCTTCTGCAACGTTGATTACGATGTATTCCGATTCATGGAGGATAGAAACCTCACGTATGGTTTCACCATCAATCTTTTCGACGATCCCAAAACTATCACCAACCTCTGGCCAGAGACTAAGAAGTTCCTGGCTGCAAACCCCTCTTATCTTTCCAGCAACAACATGATGGGATGGTTGACGGACAACACACTGCGGCCAGACCACACGGAGGCGGCGAATGGATACTCTACCTGCCACTTCTGGTCGAACTTTGAAATCGGTGACTTGGATTTCTTCAGAGGAGAGCAGTACGATGCCTACTTCAATCATCTTGACCGTGCGGGTGGTTTCTTCTACGAGCGATGGGGCGACGCTCCAGTTCATTCCATTGGTTTGGGACTGTTTGCTGACGCAGCCAAGGTTCACTGGTATGTTATTCCTTGATCGAGTCAATGCTCAGAGCTAACTTTCACTTTCTTCCCAAAGGTTCCGGGACATTGGATACAATCACATTCCCTACTTCAACTGTCCCAATTCACCAAAGTGCTCTAAATGCACCCCTGGGCAATTCTACGCTGGCGCACCCTTTCTCGCCAAGGAAGACTGCAGACCCAGCTACTTTAAGCATGTGGGGATGCATTAACCCATCAATGTTTCTTTCTCAATTTCTGAAGATTCATCATATGGCTTGCAATGTGTATAACTGCAGAAGCAGCTGTCATGACCCACACC